CACTTTTCAGCAAAAGCCTTTAGTCCCTAGGCATAGGAAAAGACCATCCCTGCTGGGATGTGGGCTAAGCTTGGCAAACTTTTCTGAAACATAATCGGAGGAGTGAGAATGAGATGAGAATGAGGAGTAATAGGGGAGCGGGCAACACTGTCCAGACTGAAGTCACCTAGTAACTGGGAGGGAGAGTCAGCAGATACGAGAGGGGAGAGGTTAAGTAGGTGAACATTTAATCTCGGTATTTCCTTTTAAAGCCTATGAGGGGCAGGGGAGCATGGATGCTGAGGAAGAAAAGAGGGCACGGCTCTTCTCAAATACCAGGACTCAGTAAAAGATGGCTCTTAGTATTTATGATTCACCCCAACACACCCCCTTTTAAAAATCATTATAAGACTTTCAGAATTCTTATTATAGGATTGGGAAGTCTTGAAAAGCTACAGCGTGTTGAAGACTAAAGGCCCAATGCAGACTATTATGCCAGTACTCATGACTGTATTTCAATTCCAAGACCGCACCGGTACTAATTATATCATTACTTTGTATCATTGAGAAAGAAATTGTTGCTACATGACTTATCTGCCATCAGTTATGGCTGAATCCCAGTTTCAGGGATATTACCATCTGTAAACAAGCAATAAGATAACAGTAGTTTAAAGCCTTCTCGGCACTGAAGAGTATTTTAAAGGTATTTGAAATCCTCACCTCTGGCCCTTACCAGGCTCACAGAGTTTAAATCTATTCTTTCTCCTTGCTGAGGGAACAGTAACATCCTGAGGTCATTAGCCACCTCGTTGACTAACTGAAGGACACCCAGGGGGTCTGAAGACGGTCTCCATCGTCAGTGTCTGCTTTGGTTACCAGCCATCTGTCATGCATGCCCCCATGTGAAGTTTCTGTGTGGGACATCTCGTTACGTGGATATTTTTTATTAACAAGTGTTTGTATGTAATCTTTAACTGTTTAACGAACTATGTGTTTTGAGCATATCTGTATACTTTGCATTAGAAATTAAGTGTTAGTTCACAGCTCACTTATAGGTAAATGAATGTAAGGAGTCAGAAATCCGAGACAAACTGCTGAGGTATGAAATGCATAAACCCACCAAT